ATCATTGCCTCTGCCTGGTTTGGATGCCCACCTGATTCCAGCATCACCTGCTATGCATAACTCCCAGATGAACAGTCTTCTTACTATGATCAGTCTCCAGTACCTTTTCTGCTCCACATAATTATTTTTAGACTAATTGTCCAGAAATGTAAGGGGAGGATAAGAGGAATGGCGAAATAAAAGAAAAAAATCAAGAAAATGAAAGATGGACTATCTGATATATTTGCCTTCATTTTAAGGGAGAGAAGGTTAAAGTAAAGTATATAATCATACTTACCTGGCAGGGAAGATCCCATTATCATGAAGGCGGTTTTCCAAGGCAAGGCTTATCTGTTGCACACTGATGTGCTGACCCTTATGATTTCCCCTAATGAGTGAGACACAACAGCATAATTTGTGGTAGTGGGGGACTGCGTTTGTGCTCTCCTCTGGGAGTGTGGAAGAGAAGAAAGTATATAATAAACTTCTGAGTGATTGAATTTCATATGAATATAAACGCAAATATGTTAGGCATCATAGAAGACCATGGTATTAAATGTATGTATGTGTCTATCTCTCTTTATATATTTAATAATTGTAGCCACATGTGCTCCTTTCTAATGGCCCTATGCTATTAGATTTTATATCTCTATATTCACTTTGGGAAGGCCTTTATTTTAGGATTATAACCCATTGACATAAAATATTCAGTTTTAGAATGTGATGGAGATACTTTTCTGCTACGTATAAAGTAGCAAATTTTATGAACAATCTAATCAGAGAGGATTGAAAATTAGTTAGATAGTAAAGTCACTTTCAATCATTGTATTCTGATAGCCTTTCTGGTGGGGGAGAAGCTGGGTGGCTTTAGTACTTGGTCAATCCAAACTATGTCATTAAATGTTTTATGACTTTCACAACAAATTATTATCTCTATCATTGTAGGAGGATATAATTTATCTTGTCTCTAGTGGTGAGTTCAAAGGGTTAAAATCTTGACAAAGATTCATGAAATAGCAATGGCAGATTTAACTTTTAAGCTCAATTAAGCCATATTTCTATTTTATTATTTTTACTTTTAAAAAACATTTTCTTGAGGGCCCTTACAGATCTTATAACAATCCATACATTAATTGTATCAAGCACATTTATACATATGCTTCCATCATTATTTTCTAGACATTTATTTTCTATTGAGCCCTTGGTATCTGCTCCTCACCCCTCACATAAGCCACATTTTAATTGTTTTAAAATTTAATTTTAAATAGAGATAGACAACATTTTGTACTACTCTAGATATTAAATGATGCCTATAAATGCTTAGCATAGTTCCAGCACATAGTAAGTGTTCACTGATTACAGTGATTGCTTTTGTTATTAGCATTTAATTAATGTGAAGTGAACAGTGGTGAAGTTGATGGAAATTAAAATTAAGCCAAGTCAAACTCACTGCCATCAAGTTGATTCTGACTCATAGTGACCCTCTAAGACTGGGTAAAACTGCCCCCTGTGAATTTCTGAGACTGTAATTCTTTATGGGAGTACAAAGCCCTGTCTTTCTCCAAAGGAGCTGCTGGTAGTTTTGAACTGCTGATCTTGTGGCTAGCAGCCAACACATAACTACTATGCCACCAGTTTCGCTCCACCTCCTAGTGATCCTATATAGGGATCCTGAAGCTTTGTAATTCTTTCCGTATGCAGGCAACCTTGAATCTCTCCAGCAGAGTTGCTACTGGATTTTAACCACTGACCTTGAGGTTACAAGTCTAGTGCTTACCAGGCATTGTCACTGATGATAAAAGTTCAATATCTTGAATTCTAGCTTATTGTCATCCTGACTTTTCAATGTAAATGACTTTCACAATGTTCATTTTTTTCTTTCTGACAAGATAGAAAATTATATGCATGATATACAAGTATAAGCTAAAGAAAAAGATAGTATGGTTACCCTTTCAAAATTAAAAGGTGCCTTTAAGTCTTATTATTGGGAAGAAACTTCAGCTAACATCTCTTGCATTTCTGTACATCTTCTGAAAATGTTTTGGTTCTAGTTTTTCTATCGGCCTATATTTTTATGAGTGCTAGTTGTAATTATCTAGAATGATACAGATCACGTGTTCTTGTAGGGTACAGAGTAGGTTTGTTTCAAGAGCAAGGTGTTAAAAGTAATTTCTACCCTGCATGGTAAAAGTCAAGCAGCTTTTCCAGAAACATCTTTCTGGGCTTGGGGTTTCCTAAACTATGGATTACGCTCCTGTAACATAGACTCACTGGATGTATTGGGTCTATTTAGAACCTCCCCTGCATGGACTTGGAAGGTGGGTGCATGGATAAACAATGTAAATATGAAGCTCATGATGCCTATTGTGCAAGAACTATTGATGTTGTTCTCTGACTCAGGAGTGTTAGTATTTGCCAGCATCTATGAAAACGTGACAGGCTTTCTGTTAGATCAATTAGGGTAAAGTCTCAGCCCTTTCACAGATCTTGGTACATTCGTAAATGGTTATTGTTGCCTGGTCTTTACTCAATTTCTATACCTCATAAAATAGCAATTTTTTATACAAGATCATGGAAAATACTCTTAATGGTTTTGTGAATTCGTCTGATTTTAATTTTTCAATGATCTATTTATTAAGTAATCACAATCCCGATGACAGGATATATAGAAAAGAATCTAGGACAACGTAAAATGACAATGCCAGAGAACGAGAGGGAACAGAGAGAAACTCCTTTAAAGTCAGCAGCCTTATGTTCCTACTTGTATTTTAGTAGCTTTGTTCCAGGTATGCAGTGCACACTATTCGTAGACTCTCATTCTCATTCCAGAAACCCGATTGCTTGCTCATCAGTTGGTTGTGCTTAAGTAGCTACCTTTCTGTGACATTTCCATGTTAAATGATATGCTCTGCATAACCCAAGAATAATCATACTTCAGATGTCTAAGACTCGCCTGCATTTGAGATTTGTACTGGATCTTTCAGGTAAAACTTTGACCTTGTAAAAAGATCAGAGAACTTGACTTTAGGAATTCTCATGATTTCTGTTGACTGAAGAAGCCTGGTCACCATGGGCTTAAGGCTTCTTTAATAAAATATTAAAAGACACCAGACCTTGGAAAATAAACTTACATCAGCAACCCAGGATTTTCAACAGACTAATTTCCAGCTTTTATTAATTTTTAATAGCAAAATAATTCAGTGACTCTCTTATGTACAAGGAAATATATATAGCAACACAATTATTTTTATGAGAGCACATTAGCTTGCCAAGTGGAGTTTGATAAGTTTAATGTAGTCATAGAATGGCATTAGTTTTGAAAGATCTTGAGGGTCACGTGTTTTAAATCTTCATCCATGGAGCCCCATACCCTTGGCAAAAAGGAGTTGTATTCAATATTATATGCTGCCTTTGACTTACTGATGGCTAACACTCAATTAGTAATTCAACAAATTTATATTGAACTCTTTCTGTATAGCCAATGCTATGCTAAACCCTGAGGGCTGCAGCCTTCTGCGCTGCTCCCACTAAGTTCACAGTTCAGCGAACTAACAATTCTTAACTGTAAAATTGTAATTGTGATAAGTGCAGTAAGTGACAAGGATGTGTGGTATGAAACTGAACAACAGGATGATGTAGAGACATTTTGTTACGTTTCAAAGAACTCCCTTTCCAGAGGTTTCTTTTTGGTACAATTGTTCTTTGGGAAGTTACAATGGCTATATGATTCTGCAAGCTCACAATCCTCGCTCTCTGCTGCCTTTCTTACACTCATTTTCAGCTGTTATTAATATCCACCTAATACCTCTCCAGCAGAGAGACATAATAAACTACTCACAAAACGCAGTTGCTCCACTGTTGCAGAATGGAATCTCTAGGAAGCAGATCCAGAAAGGGAGAGTAGTGAGCAGGAAGTTTATTTTGGAACACCCTTGGGGTTTGCACCTGTGGAAACAAAAAAAAGAGTGAGATTTAATAAAAAGAGAATGTGAATTACAGTTCAATGTCATTGAATGCCTCAACTCATCCAACAGAGAGCTCTGAAGTTGCAGTGCTACTTCAGATTTGTTGAGAATTTGAAAGAGATTATTAGACCTCCATACGCCCAAATTTATCAACTATTAGATACAATATGATCTAAGATAGAGGTATGACCTTGTGCAAGGCAGTTCTTTTTGATCAAACACTTCCCCCCAAACTCAATTCTATTGTTCAGTTCTATCATTTTGGTTCCACCTAACATCGGACCAATGTACAACAGACTGGATTATTCATTGGGCTGCTAACCACAAGTTCAGTAGTTCAAAATCGCCAGCAGCTCTTTGGGTGAAAGATGAAGTTTTCCACTCCCATAAAGAATTGCAGTCTAAGAAACCATTGTATCCTGCCTTATTGGGTTATGATGTGTCAGAATTGACTGGATAGTGCTCAGTTTGGGTTTTGATTTGGTACAACAGAAAGGAATACTGCCCAGTCCTGCACAATCCTGAACCACCCTCATAATTTTTCTATATTTGTGCCCATTGTTGAAGCTATTGCGTCACTCCATAATGGAGAACAGATTGAAGTTGTCAGGGATTTCATCTTGATCAATTCAGAATCAATGTTCATGAAAACATGAATCAAGAGATCAAATGACACATTACATTGCATAAATCTGCAGCGTAAGGCCTCTTTCAGGTTTTGTTGAAAAACAAGGGTGCTACTTGAGAACTTGGGAGGCTGTCTGCTCCATAAAGATCGCAGACTGGAAAAGCCTGTATTGATGTTAGTAAGTTTTGTTTTCACTACTTCTATAACGTGAGGTGGCAAATCTTCCTGAGCGATATTTTCAGTGTCCCAAACTGCCAGGCTCATTTTCTGACACTGTATCAGACAATGCTCCACTCTTATTCACAAGGTTTTAAGTGGCCAAGGATTGCTTCATTACAAAGCAGATTACCATGTCCTCTTTCTTCGTTTGTCTTAATCTGGAAGCTCTTCTTAAACACGCTCATGATCCTGCTCATATTTTAAATGCAATGCTGGTACCATAGCTTTCTGCAGCACAGTGACACAGAAATTACCATAGTAGGATAAACTGCAGAGAAGTAGCGGATTCTGTGGCTACCTATCATCAAAACAGGTAGCAACTGAGAATGGACTCCTGGCAGCACTTTGGCAACAAAACACATATGCTATTCATCCTTGAAGAAGCACGTAGGTGCTGTATCACAGCATCCACTGTAGCTGTTACCTCACTTTCATGCGGAACTGCACACATATGCTATTCATCCTTGAAGAAGCACGTAGGTGCTGTATCACAGCATCCACTGTAGCTGTTACCTCACTTTCATGTGGAACTGCACATATGGTGTTTCCTGTGCCTGAGCCAGCCCTATTTCCCATGCTTCAGTCATTAAATTTTTAACCGGAAATAATGTTTTTCCTACTGGAAACTTTTATTGAAATG